CCTCCCCCTTCCCCCCTCCCCCTTCCCCCAGAAGGTATATAAATAGCTAAGCTAAGCTAAGTTAAGCTAAGCTAAATGTCTTGTTTTATAGGAAACAGGAGGCACTGAACAGCACAGATGTGACGGCTCCAGAGAGACCTTTATCTCCGCCATTCACAGCTCCACCAAGTATGAAGGTAAGGATCTACTGTACTGAGCAGATAGATTATGGTGTGTGGTGGCATGTCTCCTTTTGGCTGCTTTGTCTTCCAAATTGTGGGGGTGGGGTGGGGGCTGCATTTCTGTTGGAGCCATTTTCAAAAGAAGGGGAATTGACTCCATCTTCTTTTTGTGGCCACACCCCCGCCATTAACTCAAAGATGATATCTTGCCTCTTATGGCTCACAACACACAACATCACATGGAAAATGATGGCAGTGAAATATGAAAAAAGCAGGTGTAAAAGAAAGACCAATTGTTCAGTAAAAGTGGTCCTCCTGGGGAGACCCAAGCCCACCTCGACAAAAGAAAGATGACTTCGCAAGCTGGAAAAGAGGGCCATCCAAATTTCAAGAGGCAACATTTCCCAACAATGTGGAATATCCACCAACAAGACCTTATTTCTGATCCTAGGAAGCAGTGTCTCCATGATACAGAATTTTCAGTTGATCCTAACGAACAGGCAGCCTGATACGGGTGCAGATGGCTTAGCTTTGGATCTAGACCAGTTTAAGCTTTTAACATATGGGGCAGTTGAGAGCATCATAGCTGCCCTACTGTGTCTAATGGTAGGTCCAGCCTGGCGATGATCCATGTCCTTTTCATAGTTATTATTTAAAAAATAATAATTAGGGAGAGGAAATGTCTCTCTAATGTGATTGTAGGTCCAATTTCCATCAACACTGGCCATCATGCTCAATAATCAGGGATGAAAGTATGTGTAGAGCAGTCTGTCTTCTATTCCTGGTTTAATCATCCTGCTCTGAAAACCCCCAGATGTGACACCTTAAGGTGTGCATCTTGGAATTAATAGACCCCTACCATATAAACAAACAAACAAACCTATTCAATTCCCTTCTTAACAGTGACTGACCATATATTTTGGGGAAGTTGCCACTTAGGGCAAGATAAAAATAGCCAGGTTTTGTTTGTCTTCTAGATCTGGAGTTCAGAAATATACTGCCTCTAGATATGGAGGTTCCATACTTTCCTTTCATAGTAGCAACAATCCTAGTTTCCAGAAAATAATCTAATCTCTTTTAAAAACTATCAGGGTTAGCAAACTTAGTATATTGAGGCAATGAATTCCATAAGCGAGTCTGTTATAAAATTTGGATCTTGAAAACAGAATTAATTATAAAAATATAAATGTATGCAGTTATTGTCTGTAATATAAAGAATTCTGGCCCTAAAAACCAATTTTCTCAATTTGGTTTCCTTCCTGATAAGTTCCAGGAATCATCAAGGTATTTGAATAATTTAAAAGAGGAAAGTAGATTATACAGTGAATTTCAAATAAAACTTCTCTTTCTCTGCACCAAAGAAGAATAGTAGGGGGGAAAAAGCACGGATAAATATACAGTTCTCTTTTCACAGAAGACTGTTGATATGTCTCATAGTTGTTCTTCATTTTTCTTTCTTTGCACATTTGGTCTGGATAAGAAATCACTTAAGATGAACTTTTAATCTCTCTCTCTCTCATAGAAATGCTATTTGTTACTTTATGGTAAGATCAGCTTCATCTCTATGCTCATGAGGTAGGAATTAAATGTAACAAAATCTATTAAATGGTAGAATATACCACGTCAGTAATAATAGAATCACAACGTTGGTTTAGACCGTTGAGGCCATTTTTAAGCTGGAGATATGGAATCAGAATAGCAACTACATACACACAACACATGTAGAACATTTAAAAACTGACTTTTAAAAAGTTTTTTTATCATGTGCCATCAAGTTGGTGTCGACGCTTAGCAACGAAATAGATAGACCTTCACCAGGATGATCTGTCCTCAACCTGGTCCTTCAGATCTTCCACTGGTGCACCCATTGCCACTTTAATCAAGTCCATCCACTTTACTGCTGGTCATTTTCTCCTTCTCGTTCCTTCTAGTTTTCCCAGAGTTATAGACTTCTCAAGAGAGCTAAATCTTGCCATAATTTGTCTAGAATAGGATCATTTGTGCCTCGGGTGAGACAGAATATATTCAAAGAAGAAGTGGACTTAGTAGAAATTATTCTAACAACAGGGAGTGGCTAGAGGGCGTTCGAACATGAAGCAACTGGGCTCGTATACTTTTGATGTAATTTTATTTTTATTTTGTTTTGCTTGGGATTATATTTTGTGTTGATTATATTGTTTAATGTGGAAGAGCCTTGAAAAAGCAAGCCTGTCTACCTATAATATGAAAGGGAGGGGGGGAAACCAAACCACTAGGAGAATTTTCACTTCTCCTCTCTGTTCCAATGCAAGTTGATCAGGCCTCTAGCAGAACTGGCAGGCTGATTTGAGGGGGGGGGGGGGATTGTAGGCAGCAAGGTCTGGAACATTTCCAGCTCCCCCCGAAGAGATTGGAAAGAATCACGAGATGTCCTGCCTGCCCAAGACATCACAGAACGCTCATGTTGGTTCTGGGGAAGAAGAGATACTGCTGTTCCCTAGCAACTGGAAATACCCCACGCTGTCACCCAGTCATGATTGAAAATAGGGTTACCATCTGTCTGTTTTTTCTTGGCTCCATATGGGAGCTGAAGGTCTGTGCGTGGTGTCTGGATCCAGATGTTTAGACTAGCTTCCCACTTATTTGTTTATTTGCTTGGCCAAGGGCTGGCCTTTTTTTTTTTTGCACCCAATGCCATTTACGAAACTAAAACAAAACCCAGAGAAACCATTGTAGGGAGAATCCATAATCCATGTATTTGTACTGGCCTGACACATCTCCAGCAAATAGATTGTGGTTAGCATCCTTTGTACTCTAGACAGTTGAGAGACAATAACCATAAATATGTAACATGACATTAATGTAATTACGCCTCATTCAAAGGCTATATCAATATTGGAAAAAGCGTAAGAGAAACCAGCCGGTCGGTTAACGATATCCAGTGCCAGTAAGATTATAGTCACTTAATGCATTTTGTTTAAAAGTTCATCTTCTGAGATTTCTCATCCAGACCAAATCTGCAAGGAAAGAAAAATGAAGAATAACTACAAGGCATATCAACAGTCTTCTCTGAGAAGAGAACTGTATATTTATCCTAGGACTTATTATTATTTTTTCCTCCTACCATTCTCCTTTGGTGCAGAGAAAGAGAAGGTTGATTTGACACATTTTTTGGAAAGGCCAGTAGAATTGCAGAGCCATTTTCATGAATGGAGGGTGATGTCAGAGTCTCTCTCTGATCTGCAGCCTCTCTGGCTTCCCACAATTCAGATCAGGAAAGCCCTAAGCATGGATCACCTTGCGTTCAGCTTTTTCAGAGTGGGAAGTGTGGCACGGCAGAGAGGCTGCAAACGAATGGAAAGATGCCCAGCACCTCCAGGAATGGCACCTTCTACCCCTTTTCCTGCCACAAAGTCAGTTTAGGACCCCTTGCCAAAGACATTGGAAAGAACTTCTCAAGCTCTTGGGGAATCAAGGGGAGAAATAGATGCCTCTTTTACAGAGGGAGAAAATGTCCGAGAAGCCTCAATGCAGATTTTGGCCCAGCTTTATTTTCACTTTTTCCTCCTTATGAATGGGTTCTTCTCCAAAGTTGCTATGAACTCTGTGTTGGGAAAGAGGAAGAGATCTAGGTTAGGAATAGGCAAAGTTTTTGGGCCAGGAATTGCCTTTTTCTAAAAAAAAAAAAGTGAAAACTTGCATGGCTAGGGATTGTACTCCTTGGAGGTTAAGAAGTGCAGAAGGAGTAGATTGATTACCGTAATGCGCTCTACATGGGGCTGCCCTTGAAGAGCATTCGGAAGCAAAATGCAGTGGCATGGGCAGTTATGAGTGTTCCTTGTTCAGCTCATGTTACACCGCTGCTCTGCAAGCTGCATTGGTTACCAGTTTGTTTCCAGGTTCAGTTCAAGGTGCTGGTAATGACTTATAAAGCCCTACATGGCATGGGGCCAGGTTATTCAATGTCCCTGGTTACATCTACCTGTCCCATCAGGACTGGCAGGAGAGGCGTGTTACAAGTCCCATCTATGAAAGAGAATCATCTCATGGGACCTTTTCTGCCATGGCACCTGCCCTTTGGAACAGCATCCCCCCTAAGGTTAGATTAGCCCCAGCCCAGCCAACCTTCCGGAAGGCTCTTAAGACATAGTTTTGTCATCGTGCCTGGGGGCCCAGTGGTGGTATCGAGCCTGTTGGTTGGTTGCATTATTACTAATTTATTGTACTTTCCCCCAAATTAGTTTATTGTTTTAATTAACTTTTAATTGGTTTTAATGGATTTTATTTTGTTTTATTCTTAATTGTTGTTGTAAGCCACCCAGAGTCACTTAAGTGAGATGGGCAGTGATATAAATTAAATGAATGAGTGAATAAATAAATAGAAATAGTGATGTGAGGTATTGTCGGAAGAGAAAGTGCAATTCTTGTGCGTGGATCCTTTATTTTTGAAAGGGGATGGACTTACCACACCTATTTTTACCAAAACCATGGTGTTAAATTTGGTTGCTTTCTGCTAATTTTGGAAAAATAATGTTGGCAAGGGGAACAGAGAGACAGCTGGGGGCTGGATACAATCTCCCACCTATGCCTTTTAAAGATCTGGTATAGAGAATATGTTTGCTCTGTTTATTATTTCCATTTCTATCCTGTTCCATTTCTGGAGTTCCCTGAGTCAAGGGAATTGTTGCTTGTATGCAAAATCTTTTCTTATATGCAAACATTGATGGAGGATGATCCAGTCTGAAAAAAAAATGGTGTGGCCCATTATGAGAGATGCTGGAAAATGTAGCTTCGTCAAATGTGGAGAGTCACATAGGTTCTTCACTTTACAAATTACTGTAGTAATGTCAGTTTTCAGTAGAAATTGAGTGGGTTCTTCCTAATATAATTTATTTGGACAACATTCCGTGAAAAGACCTTCAGGTCAGTAGCACAAAGATGGAAAGCTGGTGAAAATTTAATTTGCACATGCTGTTTGGCTGGTTTTCAGTTAGAGATACTTGAAGATTTCCTTGATTCAGTATTTTGAAGTGAAT